GGGGGGGAGGGCTGACCTTTTTCTTGACCGCCTGTTACGTGCCCAGTGCTTTTCGTTAAAGACATAATGTTTTTGACTGAGGATCCTGTTGGACTGATGTAAATATATTAATGCCTCAGTGGAAAAAGCTCAGAGGAAGTAACCACTGACTTGTAGAAGTAGAATTTCTTCTTAAGATGTGTCGTGACATAATTTTTATGGCTTGGCTCAAGCATCAGTTTTCAGAGTGCATGTAAGTATCGCTGCGCAAACCCCCACTGCGCCGTAGTGTGATCCGGGATTCGCGGTGGAGCTGCCGGTAGCCTGAGTGCGTGGTCTTGTGTTCCCGGTGGATTGATTAGTTAGTGCGCGTGATTCTTGGACCGATCTGCGTAACGTCGGTTCCTAGCATCTTACTCGTTGTATTTTTCGGTGTCTTACTGTAGGTGAAAACTGAGGCGAATTAGTTATTTCAGATTAAGACCGTTTGAGTTATGCTGCGGCAGGGGGCCGCGGATGTAAATTACTGCAGTTTTAAGATTTTGGTTAGTTTGTCTCTGCAGTACGCATTAAACAATGACCTCATTCTGACGCAGTTTAAGGACGTGACTTCCATCTACAAATGATTTGTTTTCCCTACTGTTTTCCATTTGTTTTTCAGTAGTAGCATTTTGGCAAATCTGGGCGAATAGGTATGAAATTCTAAAGGAGCAATATCCACTCGTGCAGTGGAATATTGAGACCAATATAAGAATGTAGATTAACTTCCACCTTTTGATTGGAAATTAATATTGTTAATATTAGATGAATATTAAGACTTTTATTTGAGTTCAGGTTTTGCCCGCTTTATCTGATGATTATTTTATACTTGGACCATTTTTTAATTCATAATCTTACAAAAATGTAGATTTTGCTGTGGGGCTTAATGGTCTCACCAACACTCATGTTTCTGACCCTTATTTTGATATTTGATTTGAGAGGGGAGGTAAAAATATGGTAAAATAAGTCCAAAAAATGGACTTAGAATAAGGAAATGTTTACTTCTTCCTTAAAAGCCAAATAAATTAATCTGGAGTAAGAAATACACAAAGTTGCTTGGGCTTGGTCCCATTTTTGCATCTAAATGTTTTATTTATGTAAATTTTTTTCAAAAGATGCATTCTGCACATATGTAAAAATATCCTTAATGTGTGCTGTCGTTTTGATGGTTAGGTCTTGTGAGATCATGTAGACCTTTTCTTCTTTTCTGAGACCCTGGTTTTCCTTTCTTCTCAAACCAGAGCCTCTCCCCACATATTATCTTATTTTGCCGAATCCTCCCACCTCTTTGGCCACCTCTCTGAGAAGGGACCTCTCTCCTCAGCTAGTCCTCCCTGACACCTACCCCCCATTCTCAAACTGAGTTCCTTTTTTCCCCCCTCCAGATGGATAGATTGCATACATTTAACTTCAAAAGTGGGACTCCTTGATTATTTGATTTTCTGCCCCCCCCCAACCAATCTTTATCACAAGTGGCTCTGCTATACAAATAATCTTGGCACAAATGCAGGTGAAAATGAAAATATTTAATTATTTGTGTCGTGTCTGTTTAGCCTCATTGATGCTACTCACAGAGATGTGGATGTGCTGTTACTGCTTTCTAACTCTGCCTACTACGTGGCCTAGTAAGTTGCTTTTTGATTTAAAGCTTTTTAATTGTTATTTTAAGTCAACTTCCTTATTAGAATTCATGACAAAAAAATTAAGAGTCTGGTTTTGTTACATAGTTTAAGGAACTTCACTGAACTTCTTTACCTCATATAACTGTTCTTATCAACTTGAAAATGGGATTTTAGAGTTGTAACCAGTATTTATGTTTTTTCAGTATTTAAGTATTATATATTTTCCATGTTTTGATGTACTCCATACTTTTAATGTAAATGACTCTACATTATTTTTTATTACTCTACAGTAAACAGTTCCCCATCTTTTAGCACTGAAATACTTCCTTTTTTTTTTTTTTTTTTTTTTTTTTTTTTTTTTGCTGTTAGGAATGATACAGTTGTCATTGTGCAGGTAATTGTATATGTGTGTGCACACACATGCACACACCTGCTTCTCTTTGGTTAAAAGGGTATGATGAATTACAGTACTTCTGTGGTTTATCAGATCTCCAATAAGGCTACCAATTAACAATGCCACTAGCAAAATTACAAGCACTTCCTCATTAGCCTTACCAGAATCAGGTTTTGTTTTGTTTTCTTTTGTTTTTCCTGTTAAGTAAATACTCTCTTTTTGGACTTGTGTGACTCTGAATGGTCTTTTTTTTTTTTTTTAAGTGATTGGCCCAGGTGCCCATTGAGGTTGATGTATGGATTTTTTATTCTTGATTTCGGATATCAGATGTATCTGTTATTATTCACAGATACATGCCTTTAGTGTAGTACGTATGTGTTTACCTGCCTTTTAGGTTAAGTTTTAGGTTGGTTGGGTTTAAAAATTTTTATAAAACAAATTACATTTTGTAATTCATTTTAATGTAAGTTATAAGCTGATTGTTACTTAGCTTTTGAACTGTATATATATATGTTAATGCCATTTCATCTAGTTTTTAAAATGTTTAACCTTTTATCCCATAGTGTATTATGCCCTGGAATATTTTAACTGTATAGAAGTTGCTACTGTTTCAGCTGACAAACCAAATATGCTTTTGATTTTAATCCTGTTTTTACTCCCTTTCCTTTTATCCAGTTATGATGATGAAGTTGATAAGGTAAACCAGTATCAACGACTAAGTCTAGAAGACCTGGAAAAAATAGAAATAGGTAAATTTTAACATGCTAATCAACTCCTCGGAAGCAAATACGGTTTCTTCCAAGAATGGGTCACTTTGTTTGAGCAAGCACTATAGCATACTGGACCCAGGAAGGGGTATTGATACTATACTGCAAGTACTCTAATTTTTAGGACTCTTTTCTGTTCCTTAGAGATGAGTGATGGATAGATTGTAATAACTGTGCTTAATACCTTGTGAAGATTAACCCAGGGATCAAGAAAGTTTACATATTTGAAACTGAAGAGTTTTTATGTAGTCTCATCAAACCAAATCATCACAGTAAGCTTGTATTTTGTGTGTCCTCGTTTAGAAGAAATAAGAAACGTGTGCTAAATAGTTAATGATGAGTAAGTGTTGGTATTTTGGAGCTAAAAAAGTGAATGTTCTATGAATCGTTTAAACATCTTCCTTTGGGTTTTTAGGTCCTGAACCCACTCTTTTTGGTAAGCCAAAGTTCTCCTGCATGCGACTGCACTACAGATACAAAGAAGCAAGTGGCTATTTCCACACACTGAGAGCTGTAATGCGCAATCCAGAAGAGGACGGGAAAGGTAATGAAGAGATGCCTGTATTCAGGGATAGCTTTTGATCTGCTCTTAAAAATCCAGGTGGAACTGGGGAAAGTACATACCATTACAAACGGAATGATCCAGGAAAACCGCTTTGAGCTTTGCAACCTTCACATAGCAACTTTGTCCCCAGCAAAGCAGGGAAGTTACTTGAGCTGATGTAGCTCGGGCAAGGGTATCTGATGGGAGATCTGTGTATTTGGCCATATGGGTGCCAGGCCTTTCCCCCAACACAGGTGCCTCTCGTGGACACTCGTCGGGGACCGTTCCTGTCTTGTTCGTGGCTGTTGCCTTGGTGTCTAACACAGGACAAATGAGAAGAAACTTCTAATTCCAGTTGATTTGGGTCTTTTGCCCTTTATTAATTCCTTTTGCCCTCTATTAATTTTAGAACAACAAAAAAAATTTGTTTTAGGACATTTTAAATTAGTGGGGGAAAGTAATGAACAAGAAGCAGTTTTCTGTAAATCGCAGCAAGTACATTTGTATTTAAGCGTTAAGACCGCACGTTTCATTCAGGGTTCTGAATTACAAGTGCTGTTTTTTTCATCTGTTTTTGGAGAGATTGTCAAGCAGTTGTATTTGGGTTTCAGATACCCTTCAGTGCATTGCGGAGATGCTGCAGATAACCAAGCAAGCCATGGGATTAGATGTACCTATAATTGAGAAAAAACTTGAGAGGTAAGTACAGTACTTTGATTTTCTGAAGAATGAAGACATTGTTATTCAGAGTCTTACTCCTTTAAAAGTATTTGCAAGATGGGGAGAAGTCTGTGATAATGTATTGGTATTTAGGCTGGGAAGTGTCCCGTTTTTGTGGATCAATAAGTAATACTTTTTGTTTGAATCTGAATGCTCTCTCTTGAGAGTCGATCTAAGCAATACATTACTTGTGGCCATAATTTAAACAACTGTATAGAGAAAATGACAAGCCAGTATGTTTTATTTATTTTCTTTTTTCTTTTAAATATATTTAAAAAAAATTTTTTTTGGGGGGGGCGCCTGGGTGGCTCAGTCAGTTAAGCGTCCGACTTCGGCTTAGGTCACGATCTCGCACTCCGTGAGTTCGAGCCCCGCGTCGGGCTCTGTGCTGACTGCTCAGAGCCTGGAGCCTGTTTCAGATTCTTTGTCTCCCTCTCTCTCTGACCCTCCCCCGTTCATGCTCTGTCTCTCTCTCTTTTTTTTTACATTTATTCATTTTTGAGAGAGAGCACAAGCAGGGGAGGGGCAGAGAGAGGGAGACACAGAATCTGAAGCAGACTCCAGGCTCTGAGCTGTCAGCACAGAGCCCGACGTGGGGCTCAAACTCGCAAACTGTGAGATCATGACCTGAGCCGAAGTCAGATGCTCAACCGACTGAGCCACCCAGGCACCCCAAGCCAGTATGTTTTAAACACCAGTGGTTTCTGAGTTTGGGGAAGGAATGAATGCCTGTGAAGAGATTATTTACATTAAAATTTGGATTTTCTATCTAATCACATTTCATGGTTCACATTCCACTAGAGACCCACTTGGTCATCTAGAGAATAATTGTTTGGTCTTCTGTTAGTAGAGAGAATTGTTCCAGTAGCGCTTTAATAACATCCTAGTTGTTCTGAACATGCTCATGACCAGCAATCCCACATGACCAGCAAGAGTCAAACTTACATACTGAGACATGTGGCAAACAGCAATACTTTTTTCTGACATTCATAGCTGTCACAAGGGATGCCAAATGCGAAAACGCTATGTTAAATAGCCCGTATCTTTTTAAATAAATGCAGGTAAATCATAGAAAACATAAGGAGAATTTTCCCTCCCTCCCATCCGAATTCAGCCAAATGGAATGCGTGCAGGCAGCTTTAGTCAAGATGTTAGATTCCCATTTATGGGCCTGTTGTCTTTGCTGGTCCTTTAGATTGTGGATGTGGTGGACATGCCCCCAAAGTGACTGTAGTAGTTTCTCCCCTCCCCCTGCCATCCATGTTTCTGTTACCTGTTGTCGGCCACGGTCTGGAAGCAGGTGGTCTTTCTCCTGACCCATTGTCAGAAGGTCAGTAGTAGCCTAAGTCACGATGCCTACGTCGTTCACTGCATCTTATCGTGTAGGCATTTATCATCTCCCATCATCAGAAGGGGGGTGAGTACTGTACAAGAAGGTATTTAGAGACTATGTTCATATAACTTTTATTACAGTATTATTGTCTTACTGCTGTTGATCTTACTGTGTCTAGTTTATAAATTAAACTTTATCACAGGTGCATATGTGTAAGGAAGAACCTAGTATATATACAGGGTTTAGTCCAGTCATGGCTTCAGATGGCCACTGCGGGGGGCTTAGAATGTATCCCCCACAGATGAGGGGATAACTGCTGTTGCCTGAATTTTAGGTGTGGTTTTTGGGGGAACTTTTTGTGCTTAATTCTCAGAATACCCCAAAATGCAGGTTGAGGCAACCATTGGGATGCTTCTCTCCCTTGCCTTCCTCTGCTGCCTCCCCCTCCTCTGAATGCCAGAGAGAACTCAGTTGAAGGAAACATGAAATAATTATAGTCAACTTTAAAGACAAAAGGTTTGATCCCAAAGAACCCAATATGATGAACCTAACTATAGTGAAGAGCTTCACGGAGTCAGACTAAGATCTTACAGGTGTTGTGTTTCCAGGGACTGGCTGTTCAGTGCATGGCCTGTTTGAGGATGGTAAGGGCAGGACACTGCTTGCTGGACTTGGGGTTAAAGTCACACAGCCAGGCCACTGTTCCCACTCAGAACTTGGGGACAACTTGTCGACGCTGTTTCCAGAGGCTTCTGCTGCCCAGTGGTCAACTGCTACACACTGGTTGCTTGAAAGACTTCATACCGAAAAGAGTATCTCATTGTCTTTTAATAGTGATTATATGTTGAAACGATACAGTATCTTAATATACACAGAAGATTATCAAAATCTCATGTTTTTAGTAGTGGCTAGAAAATTATATTACTGTGTAGCTCACAATTACCCTATAGCTCACATTTCTATCGGACAGTACTATTGTAGCCTCAATTCCAAGGGATTATATGAGTTTAAGAAATTGGGCCCAATGAAAGTAACCGTTTTCATTTACATTAGTAATTGGAACTGGCATATTGGATTTCACAGGGAACTTTTTTTCTCTTCTCATTTGTAGGAAGAGCAGTAAACCTCACGAAGACATCATTGGCATCAGATCTCAAAACCAAGGCTCTTTGGCACAGGGAAAAAATTTTTTAATGAGCAAATTTTCATCTCTAAATCAAAAAGTGAAACAGACCAAATCTAATGTAAATATTGGCAATCTACGAAAGCTAGGAAACTTTACCAAACCTGAAATGAAAGTTAACTTTCTAAAACCAAACTTAAAAGTAAATCTCTGGAAATCAGATAGTAGTCTGGAAACCATGGAGAACACCGGTGTGATGGATAATAAAGTCCAGGCAGAGTCGGATGGGGAAATGTCTTCAGAGAACGACTCCTACCACTCTGATGAATTCCTCACAAATTCCAAGTCTGATGAAGACAGACAGCTAGCTAACTCCCTAGAGAACGTAGGGCCAATAGACTACGTTCTTCCGAGTTGTGGGATTATTGCTTCAGCACCTCGATTAGGCAGTCGGTCCCAGTCTCTCAGCAGCACGGATATTAGCATTCACGTCCCTCCAGAGGGTGCCGCTCACGGAAGTGGTTTTGGAAAAGGCCAGGAGTCCCCTTTGAAGAAGAGCCCTTCTGCCGACAACATACACGTACTGACTGGCTTTGCCAAGCCTGTGGATATTTACTGCCACAGATTTGTACGAGATGCACAAAACAAAATGACCCGGCCATCAGAAGCGGGGTCTGTTTCTCAGCAGGCCAGTGAGGAAGGAAACCAAGTGACCAATCAACTTTCTAATGAAGAAACACCGTCTGAATCAACAGAACCGCTACCTTCTCGACCGTCTCAGTTAGACGTGGCTTCTTCCGCAAGCGGCCCCCAGTATTTGTCGGTTGAACCGGTGCATCCGGTTGGATCTCAGAAGACCCCGGGCTCTGGCTCCAGCACGCGGGAGTTGGAGACCGGGCTTCCGGTGACTCCTTCTCCTTCAGAGGGTGCTGGCAGCAGGGCAGTCTCCCCCTTTGCGAAGATCCGAAGTTCCATGGTCCAGGTGGCGAGTATTACCCAAGCCGGGTTAACCCAGGGGATAAACTTTGCGGTGGCCAAGGTCCAGAAGAGCCCTGCAGAGTCTGAAGTGATCCAGGAAGTCCGGCAAAACGAACTTAAAAATATGTTTACACAATGCCAGACACGAATAATTCAGATTTAGTTTTTAGCTGCAAAGAATCCTTTGGCGTTTGTTTGATCCAAAAAGAGGTTTCACGCGTGAGGCAATTTTAACCTTCGTGGTCTTTGAAGCTAGGGATCGCAAATCCTAATTGTGTTTATCGGGAAAGGTTTTAAAAGGAGTGTGAACTTGAGCAGATGTCCAGATTTGAGAGCCACAACAATAGAAGTGCGTCATCCCCGAAGGGTGCACACGTGAGTAGCTCATACACTAGGGAGCGGTGTCTCTCTGGAAGGAATTTCGGGATAATTACTTTGAGACCGAATAACCTGAACGACCCTTCTTGGGAGTGAGGTGGGCGGGTGGCGTGTGCAAGTAAACACGGAAAGTACACATGTGGGCACATGTAGGGGAACAGCCTCTTCCACCATGTGTTTTTGTTCTGTCCGTTCTTTTGTGTAAATACATTTAGTTCTTAGTGACTTTAGAGTTACTAGTACAAAGAAGCGTTTGAATATAAAAACTACTAACTTAGTTTTGATGGCTTAACCATCCCCTAGAAAGACTAAATTGAGGGTTATTGGCCCAAGAAGGGTATGCCCATCTGATGCATTCCCCGTAGCCTAAATTTAAAATATTTTGCTTCCTTCTGCACCCCGAAGTCTAGGATTAAGACTTGTCAGTCATGAAACCTGAGACAACAGATGTGAAGATCAGCACCTTAAATTTTTGCAGTTTTCAGGAGTGTAAGACTGTGCATTTGTTAGATACTGGTAATTCTTGAGTGTTCAAGTCATCATTTGTTGCAGGGAGGCATTCCTTAACATCTTGTGTTCACTGAAAAGTATTAAAGGTTCAGCTGAAGCACAGCGGTGCTGAAACCGATTACAGGACTTCTAATCCTGACCACGTGGAACCACGGCCCCAGAAGGGCCCCTACACAACAAGAACGTTCTTACAAACAAGTTCCGGTTTGTCTGGTATCTTTAGAGCCTTACTCTGTTGAAGGGATTCTCAGCTAAACATTATGTCTGTTGTAACTTTGATAAGTATTTCCACGTTTGTTATTTATTAGTGGTATCTTTTTTTTTTGAAGTGTCGAATCTTGTGACTATTTAAAATAAAAGACCATTGTAATTTAATGTGACAGTGTGTATGAGGAGTCCTTGAATAACATTTTAAAGATAAGGGTTGGGGGCGCCTGGGTGGCTCAGTTAAGCAGCCGACTTCAGGTCGTCACGATCTCAGGGTTTGTGGGTTTGAGTCCTGCGTCAGGCTCTCCATTCTCAACGTGAAGCCTGCTTGGGATTCAGTCTCCCTCTCTGTCTTGAATATTAAAAAAAAAAAAAAAAAAAAAAGTCACAGCCCTTCTAGTATTCTGCCCCCCCCCTTTTTTTAATTTGGGAGAGTGGGGAGAGAGAATCTTAAGCAGGTTCCACGATCAGTGAAGGGCCTGACCTGGGGCTCGATCCCACAATCTTGGGATTATGACCTGACCTGAAACCAAAAGTTGGACGCTTAGCCGATCTAGCCACCCAAGTGCCCCCTCGTGACGATGAAGCACATCGCAAATTTTAAACACCCGAACACTGAATGCTTTATCCTGTTCTCAAGCAGCTTCTCTTCTGGGTCTTGAAATGCTAAAGTGTCCCACAACGGGAGAGAGAAATACAAGCAAAGTCAGGTGATAAAACGTAACTTTTAAGCGCCACAGAATTCGTTCCAAAGAGATTTTTGAAAAATAAAGCAACATTTAATTCCAGTGAGGGTACTATGTTCAGTTTCCTGGTGATTCACGTAGAGGTAACAATCCTGTGAGGTCCAGTGTGTAGGCAAAGGACAAGGGAGTTCGGAAGCCCAGAGTTCCGGGCTGTCTTACCCAAGTGGGACGCCAGGAGGACACAGTTTCCAGTAACGGTTTTCTACCAGGAGGAAGTGGGATCTTTTCCCCACACGTCACAGGGGAAGAGTCTTACAATTCATGAAAAACAACCCCAAGTACTGGTCATTTGGGAAGTTTTATTTATTTGAAAGAGGGTTTTCCTTTCAGGGGAACTTTTCTGCAAAATCAAGCAAATCATGTACTTCTCTTTGGTAAATTACAGTTCACATTGGCACAGTAATCACATGGTAACTAATCTACGCTCTTGAATTTTATTCTCACAGATCCAGTTGAGTGTTCATTTCATTTCTAAAACTTTAAGGAAGTCTAGTCTACCAGTTATAAAAATGAAAACCAGTTAGAATTCTAAATATAAACATTATTTACATTAGTTTATAAAAATAGATTTGAGTTTAGGAAAAGTTAAACAACTAGTAATTTTCACTTCAGTTAAGCATAACGTATTCCTTGGTTTTCAAGGCAGACCCTGTTTCCTTGTTTAGCTGTGTCAATTTGGAGTGGGGGGCAGACTTCGGGAGTTATTTACCTGATCTCTCGCATTTCCCACTATGTAAGTTGCTGCCTAAGAAAACCATCTTTATACGTTACCACTGATGGCTTCTAACAAAAGTAATGGTCTAAACTTGCCAAACCTTTCTGATACCACAGTTTCCCTACTACACTGTACTAAACTGCTTTCTGTTAAAGACTTTCATGTTACAACTGTAATTGGTCTGGGACAAACTTACCATAGCTTTATCAGGTATTCCTGGACTAGCAGATAATGTTAGTTGAACTAACTCATCTGGAACTAATGGACAAACTTAGATAAAAGTTCAAAATCCAATACAATCATCAAAGCAACTAAATGACCATTAGGAAAACAATTTAAAACTTTATTTTCTACAGAAGGCATCTTTTAAAAAGTTAACTGTTTGCTCTCTTCAGATCTGGGCAAGATATCCTATCCCAGGCCAGCAGCATTCCCCTAAACAAACCCCATGAAACAGTGGTTCCCAGATGCACCGCAGTGAAATGTGAAAAATAAGGACAATGTAGTGTTTTTTGTTTTTGAAAAAGCTGTCTTTATTCCATTTCAAGGACTCTCCTTCGGAGACTGTCCTTTTAGGAAGAAACAAATGGCAATACAGGGGTTTCTTTCAGATTACTTGGCAAAACATATTGGCAACCCTGTCCCCCAAATTTTTGGAAACCTTACTGGTCCATGAAATCCAAAAGTCTGGGAACCACTGCCACGTAAAAAGACTAATTTTGTAGGTTATTAACAACTGTTAAGTGGCGGAAAAAAAATCTGTGGCCAAATGTTTGGGAAATGACACTGCAGAATCTCACACGGTCGTGTGAATTAATGGCAAGTACACCCCATTCCCCAAACCTGGACCACTAAACACGTTCAGACCCACCGTTAATCGGAAAGATGTAAAAATCTGAAGCGAACAACCCTTCTGACTTTGGAATTCCAACAATTTTCTTCAAATGAAGTTGACATGAGCATTTCAACAGAGTCTGGCCTATGACTTAGCTGAAACTAAGGAAATGGTATAATCAGCAACATCATCAATATTAAACTTTTAATATCAAATACATTTTTGTACATTGTTACTAATTTATATAATTATAAAACAATCAAAAGCTCCATAAAATCAGTAAGGTAAAAGCCCTTACTGAATATTATATAAACTTCAGATGTTACCAGGCTTGATTTCAGGAAAAGTCATTGGTTTTTGATACAAATTATCTACAAAACAATGTGGTATAAATGGCATTTGAATTTTACAATAACGTGGCTACAACTTGCCCACTACTCTCATAAGTGTCAGATCTTTAAAGTTCATTTCCGTTCACACATTTCTGCTGTTGAAGCCTGGTTCTTCTTAAAGACTCTAGCTGCTTTGCTCTTAGCCATCGTTCCCTAGACAGCGTTGTCTGACCGGCACTGAGAGACAGAAACCTGGAATGAAACACAGAAATAGATTGAAGTCTAGACTTAGGGCAGTCTCTAGTTCTCTTTCCTTCTCTCTTTTTTTAAAGAACCTAGGAATCCTGGGTTACAGGTCAAGACCATCTGTTGGCTACACGGAAGTCAAGAGCCCAGTTAGACTTCTACAGAGGGATCTTTGAAGCTCAGAGCCAAAGAGCAAGCCCGTCCCACTGTAGTGGTCACTTGCCAAGCAATCCCCCTCGCTAAGCACTTTCGCAAGGTGTTCTAGAGGAAGAACATCTTCCATTTGTAGAAATCTGCCTCTGTTACTCCCCCCAGTCGCGAGGTTCGTACACGGCTTACTAAACAAAGAAGCAATTCACGGACACATCGTTCCTCACCGAGCAACAATGAGCAACTGGTGGAGGTCGTCCGCGGTGATGCTCTGAGGGTCATTCTTGCGCATTTCCACAAAGTCATCTTCGACTGCCTGTATCGAGAGAGGAAGCGGACTTTAAGACGACTGCTTCTGGAAAAGCGACATGCATTCCGCAGGGAAAGCGAGAGTAACATGGGCCATGGGCCCCGATTCTGAGGCCGCGGAGACCAGAAGGTAGCGGACAGAGGAGCACACGTCACACGCGGGGCTGTCGCTGCTGACGGAACCGGGGCACGGCAAGGCAAACGTCCCCGGTCGGCAGTGTGCGTGGCCTACGGGGAAGAGTGACGTCACCACAGTGGCAGAGCGAGGACCTCTGAAAACTCTCTCCCCCATTAAAGGGCACAAGAACAGGAGCAAACAATACGAAAATCTGCTTCTTCGAGAGCTGAAAATTAACCAGAATGCAGGGAGCATTTGTTCCAGAAAGACACGACACGAGGCCGTGAGTCATTTCAGCTTGCCCTATCTATCCCCTGGCCCCAGCAGCCCTGAAGAGGGAACTCTCGGCCACTGCTGGAGAGGGTCCTCTCAAAGCACCACCCGGGAGAACGGTCGTTATTTGACTGGCGGTTCCCCGGGAGAACCCACCTGCGAGGTGGTCTTCATTCAGCCTGACTCGGCCTGCCCAGTGTGAACAGCCTCTTCTCCCACGGGACTGACCAGAAACCACCAGAAGCGATTACCGATCGTCCCGGCCGCCTCACGCGTCGGGTACTAGTCGGGGCAGATACGCGGTTAACCAAAACCCTTAAAAGAAAAAACTAGGAAATGCGAGGTTTTTCCTCCCAGAGCCCCCAGCGGACAGATCTAGCCCCCTCTCCCCTGGAACGCAGAAGGCCCCGTGCGTGTACAGGGAGCGGGCTCCAGGCCATCCCCTCTGAGTAGCCTCTTCTGTGTGAGCAGAAGGAGAAGGGTAGGTCACAGTCGTGACCTGCTTGGCTGAGAGCAGGAGGCCTGTCCACACAAGACCCACAGCCCTCAGCTTAGACTGAGACATCGCATCTGAGGAAATTAAGTTTCTGTCTGATCACTGACTGACCGCTAAGCCACATACCAAGAGCACACTTCACGGAATTCACTCAGAAGTCGCCAAACGACACGCCACCACCCCCGGGGCGGGGGGAGCAGCCCCCAGAGCAGGGCCAGCCGACGATGTAAAACATCTGGTTTTCCAAACAAAACTGAGGAGACGGGGAGGGAAACAAGAATGTGCGGCGCCCTTCACTGGGAACAAAGAAGGCAACAAACTGTCTCTGAGGAAGCCGAAACATCGGCCTCACCAGACACTTTAAATCTGTTATCTTAAATACATTACAACGACCAGCAGAAACCACATATAAAGAACTCAAAGAAAGGACGAGAACGTCTCCCCAAAGAAAGAACCTCAACAGAGACAAATTCTTTCACAAAAACAGAACCAAAATTGAAAGTTCACGGGGCGCCTGGGTGGCGCAGTCGGTTAAGCGTCCGACTTCAGCCAGGTCACGATCTCGCGGTCTGTGAGTTCAAGCCCCGCGTCGGGCTCTGGGCTGATGGCTCAGAGCCTGGAGCCTGTTTCCGATTCTGTGTCTCCCTCCCTCTCTGCCCCTCCCCCGTTCATGCTCTGTCTCTCTCTGTCCCAAAAATAAATAAAAACGTTGAAAAAAAAAAAAAAATTCACTAGAAGCTAGGCTCCAGAGCAGCTCTGCGCCACAGGCAGAAGAAAGTCTCTGCGAACGCGCGGGAAGGTCGAATGTCTGGTCTGCGGAGGAGACGGTAAAAGGGAGGGGGGAAAACGAACGAATCCTCAGCGACCCGGGGGACCCGATTCCACGCGAGAACACTCGCATACGTACGGGCGTGTCGGGGGGAGAGGAGACGGGGGCAGAAAGAAACGTAAAGAAGTAACGGTCAAAACCTCACCAAATCTTTCTTTAGTATTTGTTTTGGAGAGAGCGCAAGTGGGGGAGGGGGGAGAGGGGGACAGGGGCTCCGAAGCGGCTCCGCGCTGACAGCACAGTGCCCGACGCAGGGCTGGGCTCCCGAAGCGCGAGACGGCGACCCGAGAAGTCGTACGCTTGACCGACCGAGCCACGCCGGGTGCCCCCAAAACCCACCAAGCCTCTTCAAGACTTTCCCAAGATGTGCCCCCATCCGCACACCCAAGACGCCCCACGAAGGCCGGCAGCGCAGGCTCCCGGGGCTCCTCGCCTAGACGCGCCCCAGCTGAGCTGTCAAGGGCCAGAGAGAGTCTTGAAGGCTCGGGGGCGAAAGGACTCACCGTGCACCGAGAAGCTTCTCCTCAGTCCCTAGCGGGCTTGTCGTCAGAGACCGCGGGCCCGGAAGGCAACCAGAGGAAATGGTAGAGCTGAAAGAAGTCTCTAAACCGAGAACTCCACATCCGGCAGAAGCACTCTCCGGAAGCGAAGCAGAAACGAAGACAGGCCCAGGGAAGCAGACCTGCCCCACGGGAGCCCGAGCGGGCTCTTCAGGCCGGAACGGAAGGGACCCCGCATGGTGACTCGCATCCATGCAAACGTCACCGGCGAAGGTGAGCACGCAGCTAAATACCAAAAGCAGGATGCAGGTCTCTTGCCTCGGGACTTCTCTCCTCCGACTTAAAGACGAGCGCACACAGCACAAACTGTAAAAGCGCCGGCGGAGAGCCAGGCCCAACGGTGTGACGTGCGTGACAATAAAGCACCGGGGGGACCGGGAACGGGGTTACAGTCGCCGTTTTGTACACGCTGCGACGGACCCCACACACACTGGGAGCCGCAGAACCCAGGACAGCTACTAGGAAGACAAACCGTAAAAACAAAGACCCGGAAAACCGCAACTGTATACAAGGGACGATTCCTCACGACACGACACGACGCCGGAGAACGAGGGAACCAAGGGCACGGGGGACCCGCAGGCACCACAGGGCGGTCACAGGACACGGGAGTCGATGCGACGGTCCGATTCCACACGGGGAAATCCCGTGTTTTGACCCAAACCCACCTTGGTGATTTCATCAGAAATGCTGTAATCCAGGAACCGCAAGAGGGTCAGATAAATGCGGAATTTGTTGAGCACGGATGGCAGCACTGCGGCCAGGAGGCTGTTGGTGTATTCCTCCATGTTGGGTGGGGCGAGCTGCGGCTGCAGGCGGATGTGGCAGTCGGCCTGCAAGGACAAAGGGCACAGTGCTTTCCAGGCTGCCACAGGGTCTGACGGTTCGGGGGGATGCGTCACCTTATCGGCCCCTGCACGTATCAGAAAATACTCTTTACTACTGGGGGAAGGGCACGTTGTGTTTTTGGGGGGGGTTGGGGGGTTTTGAGAGCCAGCGAGCACACACACGTGCGAGCAGAGATGAGGGGCAGAGGGAAGAGCGGACGGAGGGGGGCAGGAAGGGAGGGAGAGAGACCCGTAAGCAGGCTCCACTCCCAGAGCTCGACACGAGGCTTGATCCTATAACCCTGGGATTGTGACCTGAGCCAAAATCGAGAGGCAGACGCTACACTGACAGAGCCACCAAGGCGCCCTGGGAGGGGTGGGGATGTCACTTCCTAACACTGATTTACAAGCACGATGATTACCTCAGCAATACTCACTAAAGTTAGCCTTTGTTTGGTTACTTTTATTTCCTTAACAGTATCAGTAAAAAGGGTATCAGTATAAAAAGGGAGCCCACCTCTAAAAAGCAGCCAATTAAAATGTTTTAGAGGTTTCCTCATCCTGGAATAGGTACTGTTTCTTACTGATCTGCATTTCTAAAAACCACATAACGTAACACTTTCCCAAAGAAAACTTACTCCTGGGCTATTTCATTCTTATCCAGAGGCAATTTCTCATAAATCACAGGTGAACATTAGTTTCCAGAGAAACGACATACCTTTTAAGCAACTGGGCATACTTTTCATCATTAAAAGATTCAGAATTAAAAGCTCTCTTCAGAAATCACGCTGATGATTTACCACAGCATTCCACCATAAGGCACAAAACTAATTACCATGTCATTGGGAACATTTTAAAAGCAACTCTAAAATACTTCTCACAGAAGACGGACAGAAAACAATGGGATCGAGGCAGCAAGAACAAAGGTCTAGATGTTAATCAGGCGATTTACAGACAGCTTCTCCTCTCCAGGCCTGGATGTGGGAGTTTCAGCTACCAAAAGCTTTCCCTTGCTTGTGTTGTGATCTGCCGATGGCCAGTTCTTCAGAGAGGTTTTCATCCCCAAGGCAGGAACAAAATAACCAGTTCTCTTACTGACAATCAGCAGCCACAATTGTGAAACAAATTTAATTTACCAATAATAACAAGCAGTACCGAGAAAGAAAACAAAAACACAGATCCCATTCCAATGTAACCTCCCTCCATCTCAGAATGACTCCTCTTACCGGGAGGAGTGATCTCCCCTCCGAAGTGATAAAAACATTAATATTGCAGGGGAACTCCATGTGGTGGTAACTGAAGTCATAATCGACTTTCTGCCAAGTTATTAGGTTGCTCAGGGCAGTCACATTATGAACACCTAGAAAATAAAAAAAAATAATTTTTTGGTCATTTGATTTTAATCACCTAAACAAACTGGTTTTACGGACATTGATTTTAAGACGTGAGGTTTCTACCTCTATAAAAAAGTGTTTGGGGCTTTCACTACGTTAACAGACACCACAGACAATGCTGGACAAACATATTTTGGGGCCAGGATCCCCCACATCTACTCTAGCACCCGGCGTGCAACCAGGCCTAAGACAGGTTCCCAGTAAGTACAATCACTGTGTGCGGTGTCACAGGTCTGAAACGACAGAACTAAAACTATTTTATGCAGAGAAAGGAGGTTGCTGAATTGCAGTGACTCTTAGATTCACCTTTGCCTTAAGCACCCCCATCCACACTACTTGTTCTACCTTTGCCTCCTGAACCCCCAGCAGCAAAGTGCCTCCTCCGACCTCAGCTGAGCACAATCTGCTTTCTTGTAATTTTATAACATGTTTTGTAACTGAGGCTAGTTCAAACCATTCAACATAGTACTTTTTTTTCAGGGATTCTGGGAAAAATAATTTTAAATTTCACATCGGGCGGTAAAAAACATCTTATTAGATCTTTTCTACCCTCTCCTTTTTAGCTAACAGATTACTGAAGGCAAAATCTCCTGCCTTCTCAGCTTTTAAAGAACTCCTCGCTACGTCCTTGTCTGTCCTTGTACTATTTCCATACTACGACACAAAACACAGCTGATGTACCCAATCTGTAAGTTTACAGTACCCACAGCACGCAGATCATAGGGCGAGGCTTGACCTTAACTAAATATTTGTGAAACGGGAGTCTGCCTTTTGTTCAGTGACTCTTTCAAAAGTCCTTACCAGATCCGGCTTTCCCGGGAGGTCAGAAATGAAGGGGAGCATCCCCCGTCCATACCTGGTGTGTCCAGCTGCCCCTGCTCCAGGAGAGTCTCATCGATCACAAGGGAAGTGTTGCTGGGGAGCTGGAGGAGCCCGCTGACGAGGCGGTTGGCTGCATAGTCCTTGTGGGGGATGAATCTCAAATGGTTCATGTTCTCTATAGTCATCTGCAGGCGAAAAGACTACAAAGAGACACGTTTCACTAAGCAAGGAACGAAGTTTCCCTGTTTTAAGAGAATACACACGCGGGGTTAAACACTTGCCACATGTGTGTAAGAAAGAGCTTATCTCTGCAACCTCAGGGTGCAGTTTCATGGTTTCTTGAGCTCTCAGAAGCAAAAATAATATCTACCTCTTAAATAAGAATTTCACTGATTGTATGAGCTGCTTTATTCTCAACCGTTTTGTTTGCTATTCTTAATGACTAATTTCTATTTTACCAGTGAACAAGAAACGACAGATAATTCAGATACATTTATCAAATATTCAGGAGCTTGACTTCTTTTGCCTACCACGACCACATGCTAACAAAACAGAAAATACTTATTCAAGATGGGGAGAGAAAAGTTTAATTTTCCTCTGTGTGCCTCAAGTTAAAATCACATTCATTCATCAGGCTACCGCAGACCAGTGAACAAACAGCCCCGATAAATAAACACTGTGGCGCAAAGCGCACGGAGCGGGGACTGGGCCCTGCGGGTCGTGTACCTGCTGCACGCAGCCTCCTCGTCCCGTCTCAACACGCTTCAGTATCCGTTAGACCACATGCAGCCTCTCCTCCATCTCCCCGAGCCCACCAACACCCTCTGCACCCTGCTTCCACTCCAACCCCTCCTCCTGCTCCAGCCTCAGAAGAGGTAGGCGTGGATGGGGTGGAGACTGGGGTTGGGGAAAAGAGTGCTGAGGAAGAGAGAAACTTTCAGAGTTCAGAGGATTATGGTATGCTGGCTCGGTGACTCAAAGAAAATGCGCAGGGGGCTGGAATACCAAAGATGGAAGCAAACAAGCCCTGTAGAAGCAGAGTCTGTCATTCACAAGGTGGCCCAGAGCAGGTCTAGCTCCACACAGGCATGAGGTCGCTCATACTTAACCCGCTGTGGAAACTAAACAAGAGATGAACAAGGCAAGAGTTCAGAAAGAGTTTGGTGCTGGACATAAACACAAGAGGAACAGTAGGGAGTGGGATATGGTAGCGATAAAAGAGTAAAACCCGCAAACCCACTACAAAGTGATGCAAAATAAGAAGGAACCAAAAGGAAATCCCTTACCACTCTCACACCTTGAGTACCCAGCACAGACACCTTACAAAATACAATTCGTGCTTAGTACGTGCTCAGACTTCACCTCCTCCCCTCCTCCCCAGAACTCATTCTGCACCAGCCACACCGGCCTGTACTGGGCCTCCAACGTGCCCGGCACACTGCTGCCTCTCTCTGCCCAGGATGGACACCCTCCACCCCCGACAGAGCATCTGACTTGCTCCCACACTCGACCAAGTGTCTCCCTGAATTCCCTGAAGGCGGGACCTTCCCTGACCACTCGGATTACATTAGCAACTCCACCCTGGCCCAGCGCCCCCAAGACCCTTTCTCCTGGGCCATTACTGTTCTCCAGGGCACTTCAATGACATACTACATACTTACTTAGTATCTACTGGTGTTCTACTACAATCTAAAATCTGACCGGTTCAGTAATTCCCAAAATGTGGTCTAGGGAACTGCCTGGGAGTTGCTGACACCCTTTTATGGAGTCCACGAGGTCAAAATCACACATAGATGAAAGATCCATTCAACGTGCAAGAGAGACCAATGAATTTACTGTAGTGGAGAATGCAAGTTCACGGATGAGATTACAGATCCCACACCTGCAACCATCCTTCAAGAGAATGTCCCGTAGGCAGTTTTGGTCTAGTATCAAAGAATATCCACAGGTATCCGAAAAGGCTATGAAAACAGTCCTTCCTTGGCCAACTACTTTCCTGTAAGGAGCCAGCCTTCTTTCATATACTTCAATCAAAGTGTCCTATTACAATAGACTGAATGCAGAAGCAGATTTGACAACCCAGCAATCTACTAATCCAGATATTAAAGAGACTGGCAAAAAACTGTGTCACTTTTATCGCTAACGGTTTTTGGTGTGAGAAAATAGCTATAGTTACAAAAATATTTTATGTTCCTATGTAACTGATTTATTTTTGTGAATTAGTATTTTAGCTTTTGATTTCTACTATGGTAAACTGATGACAAAAACAACCCAAATAAATTACACCTCTTTGAGTCCTCAATAATTTAAGAGTGTAAAGTGAGTCAAGGAGTGTGAGAAATGCTGGTCTATTTGGTCTACTGCTGCTTCCTGAGGGCCCAGAAGAGCGCTGACAACTCGCCCTCAGCGAGCACAGTTAAACAAGCGGTCAGCACTGCCGGTCACACTACTACTCAGAAGCAACTCCCTTGTTCCCCACGGTGACGCTCGTTCTAAATGCCCTGGCAAACAAAGGCAGCTCGACTTTGCAAGCAAGAATTAAAACTGGGGCAATGGACATAAAGATCTTTATTACCTCAGCTAAATGAATTATGCTCCTGTAATTTAGGTTCACTTAAAGATTTAAGATTTTTAACGTACACAAAGGATACCAAACTGCACAAACAGGCATCGACTGAGAGTACAATTTTAAGCAAGTTCCCTACAATCGTGCTGTTAGATTTGCAGAAATATATGCTAAGGCAATAACAGAAAAGTGACATGTTGAGGGGTGAATAGGTTTTAAATTCTGGAACTTGACAGGCTTTGTTTCCCCTGAGTAAGATCTATTATAATCTCAAAGTTAAATACTTGGGTTGAATGAAAGACAATTAGATAAATTTTTCAAGTCTGCTTAGGTTTATAATAAATATTTATATTGATCTTACTGCTGGAACAAGATGTTGAATAATTCGGTATAAGTGTTCTGTGAAGCTACTATTCCGCGGGCAACCACTCAAGTTAACTGTGAATTTTCCCAGTGGAAGAACATCTCTTCTTGTATATCTAGAAAAAAAAGACACCAACCAATAAGATATTCAGGTCACTTCCTGATTTCCACCAAAGAGCAAACAAAGATCAGCATGGTATTGTCATTAAAAATAAAGCAGATTAGGGGTGCCTGGGTGGCTCAGTTGGTTAAGTGTCCAACTCTTGATTTCGGCTCAGGTCATGATGTCAGAGTTGTGGGTTTGAGCCTCGTGTCCACTTCTGCATTGACCTGACTGCACGGAACCTGCTTGGGATCTCCCCTCTCTCCCCTTCTCTCTCAAGATAAATAAACTTAGAAAAAAAAAATAAATAAAGCAGACTACTCTGATCGGTTCATTTATCAGAATGACAGCAATAAAAGTAGCAGGCAGACCCTAAGTGCTGATCAGCTGCTAGGGACTGTCCCGAGAGCTTAAGTGCCTCATTTAGTCCCCACACACTCTAAGGTAGGTCATCTTCGCTGCACAGGTAAGAAATCGGAGACAGAAATCTGAAGTAACATGCCCAGAGCTCACACAGTCAGGAAGTGGGAGAACTGGATTCAAACCTACAGTCTGGCTCCAGAATCTGTGCACTCAACCATCACGTATGGCTGTCTGAAGTCGCATCCAAGGAAAGATTTATTGGAGTACAAAGATGTTCACTGCAATGAAAAACTAGGAAATCTAACACGTATGGAAACAGTGCAACTGTCTATAAGGAAATACATACTGTGCAGCCATTGAAAAGTTTTATGAAGAATCACAAAGGGAGAATATTTAAGATATATTCAGTGATAAAACCAAGATGTAGATCTGTGTTAAGAATGCAATGGAGTATCTGTGTAGGGATATATCCAATCCATATGCAAACAAAAAGGACGAAACGGGGACGCCTGGGTGGTCAGTGAAGTGGCTGCTTTTGGCTCAGGTCACAATCTCATGATTGGTGGGTTTGAATCCTGGGTCTGCTCCGTGCTATCACTGCAGAGCCTGCTTCAGATCCTCTGTCTCCCTTTCTCTTGCCCCTCCCCTGCTCTCTCAAAAATAAACAAACATTAAAAAAAAAAAAAAAAGATGAAATGGACATGAGCCAAGATGTGTTAACAGAGATCATTTCTGACTGGAGAGATTATAGATGACTTCCCGTTTCTTTACGCTCCTGAAACTTTGAAGACACACGTTACTTCCGAAATCAGGGAAGACAAACGTACAGTGCTGTGCAAGGGAGAGGCGCTCACGTCCACAGACCAGTCAGAGGTGCACACACTGAACTGTGTGGAGCCCTGGATTGTATGAACAGAGAATGCAGGACCCAAAAAGAGTAAAACAGCTGATTTTACTCGTCAGCCAGGCTCTGTCTGACTGTGGCTCTTCTTTTTACGGGAGACATAAACAAAAGGTTCAATGTGAAACTGAGAAAAGGAATTTGTCTGCCATCTGGTGTAACACTTGTTACACTGAACGAATAAAAACCATCTGATGATGAAGCTAATAAACTGTGACACACAAGTTAGCGGAGAAACCTTCCCGCTCTCTTCCACTCTCCACACCACCCCCAGCTGCCCTCAGCACCCCGGGACGACCGCACTTACACTGTGGAGATGAGATGTAAGATGAGGTACTCGGCGGCCAGGCTGTCTCCCAGAAGGGCGTGCGTGAGGAAACCAAGCAGCTCTGCCCGGACGGGAGACAGTTCGGACATGAAACCTGAAATGACTGGAGAGGGGAGACCACATTTAGAACACACACGCGGCTCCTCTCGAGCATCTCAGGCTAAAAAAACTAAACAAACCCGAGTGGAACAGAGCACTATGGTCCATGGACAACTAACGTAGACTTAAAATATTGGTCATTAAGTGATGCCAATCTTCAAAATAAGACAGCCTGTAAACTTTCGTTTGCTTCATTTTAATAAAGAGGATTAACACAGAGGAAAATGGGGCAGAGAAAGGGGGATTACTAGAGAAGCTCAACCTGAGGAGCGAGGACCTGACCAACTCAGCGCCACCGTGAGCACATGTCACAGGCAGCTCCCGACACACACAGGGGCTGACGGTCTGGGCCCCACGGCGTCAGCACTTACACTTACAGGTTTTGCTCTCCTCCTTGTTAAGGCAAGCAGGCAGTAAAGGATTGATGTGCTGCAACTTCTGGGCTAAAACCACATGGATTCTTGGCACTAACGAGGCAGGAGGACTGTGCACTCGCTGCTCTTCAGCCGTGTCTGTGCATTCCATTGGATCCAGGAGCGAAGAGGCATCCCTACGGAGACAGGATAAAGCTTCAATTCCCAGACACATCTCTGAAAATGAAATGAGAATTCAGGCCGAGAATGGTTCCACCTGTGTATCTCCTTAAAGAACAAAAAACGGCCCCTCTAAATTGTCAGGTCACACGATTTCAGGCTAGTTAAGGTCGTAGGAGGATATGGATTTATTCTTTGAGAGCAAGAACATTTTTACTCAGTGTGCTGTAGCTGCAAATAATGGAACAGAGTATGTCACTGATAAGGCTGCTTCAAAACAGATACTCTTAAGCTATCAGCTGAAACATGAAATACTTCGCAGCAGCATCTCAGCTACCCCCAAACTGGGGTCTTTTTCTCAAAAGCCATCAGGTATCTCTTACTCAGTGTGTGGAAGATCCACTCACCTCTATCCTAATTGCTTTTCCTAAATGTTATTCCTACACGACACCTCCCTTGAAGAGTAGTCAAGCAGTGAAAATAAAGTGTGAGTTTTTCAAATTTGCCAAATAAATGAGCAGACGATAGATTTGCTGTGATATGATTGAAACAAAACACTAAAATGTTTTTAGAACTTCAGACTTTACAGGTTGCTCTAGAGTCCCCACTTCATACTGCTATCTCCCTCACACACAAGGACAATGACAACCCTTAGGTGACGCGTACTATGTGCTGGGCAGTGTTCTTCGCTGTGCACCAACACCCTCAGCTACAGAGAGGAAACCAAGCCACCGCAGCAATTAAGCCCAAGGCTGCACAGCCAGTAAATGGCCAAACCAGGCTGCCAACCCAGCCCAAGCCATCCGGGTCTCTCTGTACACTGCATGGCCTCAGCAAATGAAGTAACCAACGCAGGAAAAATCATCATAACCAGAAACAGCTGAGAAAAGTAATTTGCTATACTGTTATTACGGAAATGTTATTTATTTAAAGTTCTTTAAAATTTTTATTTTGTACCTTTTTTTTTTTAACAGTGAAAAGTTCTTTCTGTGGAGAAACCAAGATCAATGTCCAATACTCAACAAAGCTATCGTGTGTGTGCGGGGCGGGGGAGGGGAAGGGCGAGATGCGATTCCACTCTTCTGGCAAACTCAAAAGATAATGAGGAAGATCTGGATTTTCAGGATATATTGTTAAATGAGCAGAAAGAGTATAAAGGAATACATATACTGTGCCACCTTTTCCATAAGAATAAAGGGGGAATAAAATACACACGTTTCTACTTATTTTGGCCAAAACTACATGGAAGATAAAAGTGGATGGGGCGCCTGGGTGGCGCAGTCGGTTAAGCGTCTGACTTCAGCCAGGTCATGATCTCGCGGTCCGTGAGTTCGAGCCCCGCGTCGGGCTCTGGGCTGATGGCTCAGAGCCTGGAGCCTGTTTCCGATTCTGTGTCTCCCTCTCTCTGCCCCTCCCCCGTTCATGCTCTGTCTCTCTCTGTCCCAAAAATAAATAAACGTTGAAAAAAAAAATTAAAAAAAAAAAAAAAAAGTGGAAAGGGAGGCTGGTTCCCTGTGGAGGGTGAGGGGAACAAGGCAGGGCAATGACAGCCCTGCATTCTTTGTGTACAGCTGCAACTTTGGCAATAATGTCGATGTTTTCTAGACTTTAAAAATCAAAACAGTTAAGGATGGAAAAAAAACTATGAAATGAAGCACAATGGAAGCAAAGGAACGCGACCACATAAAATGAATGATGAGCAAAAGAACCAAGGGGAAGGAAAGTACCCACCCCAGTAACTCTGGACATAACACTGACTACAAACCTCATTCTAAAACAAGAAGAAATGGAAACAAATCTTGAACTCAAGTTATAAGGTTTGTTGTTTGCAGTGCTATGGACTACCAATTCTGCAATGACCTTCCCTGTATTGTAGGATGTATGGAGAATAATGAGAGTCAAGCTTCTTTCTGTTAGAAAAGGAGTTACAAACATGGGAAGGGGAAAGGACAATCTACGTGCTGAACTGGAACCAGAAACAGTGTGAACTCATGGTTCTGATATACAGACTTGAAAATACACAGATCTATGTGTGTGTATATAAACGTGCATTTATTTGTATGTATACAGTGCAAGTATGTGTATATATATTTCCCAGCACTTTCCACTCAAAGGGCATAGAAGCAATACCAAACCTAGTACCAAGGAGCACACAAGCACTCAGATCTAGACTTTTAAATACAATTCCTCCCTAAAAGAAACTGGTGCTCCTTGGAAATATGGCTGATACTGCAGCTGGAGCATGGGAAGGACAAGATGAAGCTGAAACACTGTTAATGTGCCAGAAAAGAGATGTTCAAAATCGAAAAGGTCATGTCAGCAAGGACCCAAAGCCTGCTTACGATGACTCCCACTAGCAAAATGAGAAAATCTGAATCTCAAAATTATACCAGGCTAACGTCCATGCTGATATAAACAAATTACTGGAATAAACAAATGAGAGAGAAGGGAAATTGCTCTTCCAACAGAATGCCAATAAATAAATGTAGGAAGAATGACTGATAATAAAATCACCATCACAGTAATAACTGGTTCAAGAATCATCAATGGATATTAAAATAAGTGGATGTTATATGAGAAACCAGGTATTTATAGTCTCAACGTTATCACCTTCCAAATTACTTGTTTATTACAAATTGAAAAACAGTAACTTTGTAGGACAAAAAGGCTGGCAAATGCCACCTTAACCAAGTAATCAAAATTAGTATCACCAGTAATAGGGCAACCAGACATCACATGTCTCCCGAGATGATGGCCTGAATCTAATCATGAGGAAACATCACACAAACCCAAACTGAGATACTCTACAAAATGACTAGCTTTTACTCTTCAAAAGTGTCAAGGCTCTGTGCATGTGAGGACACGGAAGACAGCCATTTGCAAACCAGGATACGAGCCCTCACTAGACACTGGATCTGGCAGCACCTTAGTCTTGGACTTCCCATGCTCCAGAACTGTGAGCAATGAATTTCTGTTGTTAAAAAAAAAAGGCATCGAGACCAGAAAAGATAAAAGTTGAGAACTATTCCAAGTTAGTGGTACATGTGACCCTATGGATATCGTACCAGGGAAAAGAAGAAAAACAAAACAACAAAAAACAAACACCAGAAAGAACATGACTGAGATAGCTGGGGAAATTAAGTGTGGACTGTGGGTCAGTGTATTGTGCATTCATGGCAAAGTTCTTAATTCTGATAGTTATATTCTGAATGTGTATGAGAAAGTCTTTGTTGTTAGGAAGTACGAACTCAAGTATTTAGGGTATAATGTAGGCAACTTACTCTCAAGTGTTTCAGAAAAATGTATGTATGCACACAAAAATGTGTACGTGTAAGAGCACAAATGAATGACAGAGCAAATGAGGCACAAGTGTCAACTGGTAAATCTGGGCATAGGGAGAAAGTTCTTTATAACTATCTTCCAACTTTTCTGCAAGTTTGAAATTATATCAAAATAAAGTTCCCCCAAAAAGAGCAAACAGACTCACCTTTCGTCATTATTCAGTGTACTTAGCACAGGATCCACAGACAGAATGCCATATAACTCAAGAACATCGTTTACTTTGAAACAATCCCAGTCTTCGTAGACCTAACAGGAGGAAACCACACAAAATCATGTTGTTAGCACTAACCAACACCAAAAAATCATAAAATACAGGAAATGGACCTTAAAGCAACTCCTTTATTTCATCAATTGAAACCAAGAGAGGTAAAGTACTCGCCTGAAGTCATTCTCCTAGTTAGCAATTAACAATTAAAACACAGGACTCCTGACTCCCAGACCATGGTCTGTTTTCAATATACCACACTGCTGTGAAGAAAAGGGCTTTCCCGAAGAACGATGGCCAACAAGAAACATGCATTATATAACTCAAAATCCATTAGGTATACCAAGGGAAGGGGGAAAAAACCAGAATGACTAACTTTGGACTTATTCACACACTAGGTACCATTAGGAGGATTAACACTAACTCAGGCCATGAGGTTTTTCACAATAAAACAAACTTTCAAAGCTGTCTGTCTTTAATGGACTTTAGTAACTGGCAAAGCCTCCTACTGGGGAGACCTAACTGAAGCATGGCAGGAAAGCTGTCCTAACTCTGGTCCCTGTGTTATATAACTGAAGTGCCACTGAAGTTAAAACCACAAAATATGAGAATGGAAATTCTCAAGATCATTTCTGAATCTTCAAAAAAACCAGGGTAAGCAAGACTGGAGAACAAACTACCAATAGATTTGCTGCCTTCTATTTTATTTTAAATTCAAATGAGAAATGGATTTTGGGGCGAGAATGTTGAAAATGAAGTCGTTATTAGGAAGATGGAAATGACTAAGGAAGGCAGTAGACATGAATTAAAAAACTGTTCCACTTCTGTGTTCGAATATTCTTCAATTCTTTCAGAATGCTGTGGTGGGCAGAACATGGCCTCCTAAAGAGGTCCACATCCTAATCCCTGAAATTTGTGAATGTGTTACCTTGCAAGCAAAAGGAATGTGTGTAAATTAAAGACCCTGCAATGAGGAGATTATCCTGGATTATCTGACTGGACCCAAATATAATCATGAAGGCCCTTAAAATTGGAGAATCTCTCCTACCAACAGTCTGAGGGAGATGTGACTATGCAAAAATGGTTAGAGAGAGGCATGGCTGCTGGCTTGGAAGATGGAAGAAGGGGTCCCAAGCCAAGGAATGTGAGCACTTCTAGAAGCTAGAAAAACAGTCTTCCTGGAGCATCTATAATGGAATGCAGCCCTAAGGACTGCATATTATCCTCAGTGAGATCCATGTTGGACTTCTGACCTAAAGCCTATAAAATGATACATTTTTGTTGTTATTAAAAGCTACTGAAGTTGTATTTGCTGCAGCAGCCACAGGAAACAAACACAATGCTAAGAGCATTCCATGTCGACTTGAGACACATAGCACATCTGTATCCACATGGGGTCTATAAAGGGTTTAGTACCTTCACAAGGCATGCAGGGCCCTTCTCCCCTGGCAGTGGAAAATTCAGGTCAAAAGGAGAAGAGAAGTTCAAGAAGTTCAGCTGTTGCCCAGTAGAAGCTTCAGTTTCTAAACGTTTTGGCTCTCCACACCACTGAAGACCACCAACACTGCCTAAATTCAAAGAACAACACTGCACTTAGTCATTTTTAAGGCTTCCCAGAGATAAAGAACATTCCAAAGAGCCTCTCAAGTTTGATATAAATGGTGCTGCTGAACTCACAAACTTCAAGTTGTTACGGTTCTTAAATAACATATGCTAACAAAACCTACTATCTGACCTAAAAGAACAAAGATTATTATGCAGATCTGCAAATTTTAATCATTTCTTCCCTACAATAAGATGGCAAAAAATTCCCATCAAATCTCAAGTGTAAGTATTTTAAAAGTTAACATTTAATAGTTACTTTGACATCTTTAAGAAATACATGGTTTACAGATAACAAACCCACCTTAGAACTTTTTTCTACATATTAAGCAGAATAAAACCATATAATAGCAATATATTCATTTACCACATATTTATTAGCATCCATTTTGTACTAGGAATCAGACCAGTTGTTGGGGATACAAAGATGATTAAAAAGTACCCTCTTATCTCTGAAGCAGTCCCAGCCTAGGGTTTATAACTAATTAGAATCAACAGATAGTCAGCCACACCATAAAGTATCGGTCAGCAATAAAAAAATAAAAAGGAATAAATTACTGATACCTGCAACAACTTGGATGGATCTCAAGGAAATTCTGAATGAAAAAAGCCAATCCACAAAGTTTACGTAATATTTGATTGCATTTATGTAACCTTTTCTTTTTTTAGGGTTAATGCTAGGCTGGAATCTTTTTTTTTTTTTTTTTTTTTTTTTTTTTTTTTTTTTTAATTGAAGTATACCTGACTACATATGGTCATGCAGTAACAGAAGCATAAAGAATGGGTTAGTGTTTGCCAGGGGTTAGGAATCTGTGGGGAGGGGAGAGGCAGGAAAGGGGTAAGTATGCTCTACAAGGCAACTTGAGAGATGGCGGGCAAGGAACTGCTCTGGATCTTGACCGTGGTAGTGGGCCCATGAATTTACACGTGACCAAACTGCCCAGAACTAAATACACACACACACACACACACAAATAAGTGCATATAAGAAATGTGAATATAAGGTCAATGGGTGGTATTAATGACCATTTCCTGGTTATGATATTCTACTAGAATTATAGAAGATGTTATCAGGGGAAACTGGGTCAAGGATATACAGGCTCTCTCTGTATCATTTCTTACAACTGCCATGTGGTCTACACTTATCTCAAAGAAAGTTTAAAAATATATGTAGCTTGACAGATTACCCAGAAACCAACAAACAAGTTTTACATAAATAATACACTCAAATGTATTTTAAAAAAACCCTACAGTATGACATTCAAACAAAAGGCAAAAAACAGAAGAGAGCATCAACTGCTTAGACAATAAGAGAATTACTATGTCCTGGATTCTAAGGTTACTTATTGTTATGCTACACCATTAATTTATACTGTTTGGGGGGGTGGCGTGGAGAAAAAGAATAACCACATTTGTATAGATTTACTATTAAACATCCCAATTTTAAGAACATTAAAATCTGCCTTGGCTTTAAGGAAATATAGTAATATGAACTTACTAAGTAGGAAAACATATGGGTAAGTGAAATTCATTACTAATTCTTTGTTTACCACCCTCAGCCCAATCTTACAGAAGCTCACTGACAAGACAGACTTGTTTGATCTCCTCTCCCTTCAACTTGCCCTCTGATGAAGGTGCTCAAGCTCAATGACTGGACAGAAAAGGAGGAAAGACAAACCTCTCTACCTGCCACAATAAAGAATACTCCTAAAAACCATGATCGGTGAGATCGAGAATGAACTATGCCAATCCTGAAATGGTCTCATCTCTTAGGGCACTGCCCCTTTCGTTCTCCCTGTGTTAATGAGAATTCACTGGGTTTTCAGCACATTTCGAGATAAACCACTACAAACATGTATTAAGTACAATTCTGCCTATCCCGAGGGCTTTCTGCTCTCAAGCTGAGGACTAAGTCATCTCATGTGCCACAATTTCAGGTTTTCTGCTGGTGTTCTCAATCTCACTAACTTAAAATACCACTATCTCAAAAGGAAAATAAGAAAGGATGTTTTCAGATATGAATAAAACATTTTCAGGATAAAGTACTATGCTTCCGTATTACTTATGAGCCGAGATAAAAACCAGTATGAAGAATGAGCAAAGGCCTTTCTTGACTAACCACCTGAAGACCCTTACAAACTAATAGGCGAGCAGACACTTTTCACTAAGTGATGCCTAACTGCTTGGTTATGAAACAGTCTGACCAAAAGTACTGCAGAATCTCTCAAAACCGTCTGTAATTGCGATAAACTTGAAAGTGAGGTTGTCCCATCACTGCCAGCTCCTAAATCTAGAGCTGCATCACACGACAATTCACTCTGAAACCTAATCTGAGAGAGAAGTCTACAGAAAGCCCACTGGCACACAATACCTGCTTGTCTGGCACCAGCATGCTGGTCTTTCTGTTTGCTGGGCTGTAGGTCCATATCTTCATCATCTTCATAACTCCTCTTGTGACGACTGGGGGTGTAGGACGTTGAAGGACTGACTCGAGCTTGGTTTGCATTAACATAGGCGTTAAATAAGTTAAGAAAAGTCCACCATGAAATGAATATCCTAAGGTATGCTAATTACAGGACCAATAAAAGATTACTAGCTTGGCAATTTGGTTAAAATTAAAACATTCTTTTAAAAGAAGACTAGACTTCCAGTTTTGATTATGAAGGTAGCAACTTAGCCTCATGCCCCCAACCCCTGCTATAAAGAAGTGTAAACTAGGCAAAAGACACAAGGCAACGATTTCTAGTCACTGTAAGGGAGCGTAAGGTTATAATCCTTGAATAAGAAAACATAACGGATAAACTCTACATTCTTCCCAGCTTTCTCTTGGAACACCGCCCAAATTGCAACAAAGAGAAGTAAAGGCCCTGCCCTTGCTAGGTAGAGAAAACAGAACACCCAGTTCAGGGCTACTGGTTGCAGATAAACAACCAGAAATCTGTGCAGGTTCCATTTGGGTCTTTGGCTGAACTGAAACCTGTGATGTTCAAGTCAGGATTCCTTGAGGCCTAGCAGAGAACAGCTGCTAGCTGGTTGGAAGCTAAATGCAGCTGGGGGAAACTGTACAATAGTAGAACTGGACCCTAATGAACATATCGGGCACTCAAGTGTGACCCAGAAATAGCGCATCTCATGAATAAGGACTGTGTCCTACACAGCAAGGGCCACTCCATACCCACTTTAACCAATCCCAAAACCAAGCCATGACAAACAAGGTCCAAGGGATCAACTTAAATCACCTACCTATCAGAACAAAATGCAACATTCCTGAGATAAGACAAAACCAAACTTTCTACAATATTGTATATCAGCATATAGTAACATTATTAGCTACAGATGAAAAACAAGAAAATATGACCTACAATCAGGATTAAAAATAATCAGGGGCACCTGGGTAGCTCAGTTGGTTAAGCATCTGACTTCGGCTCAGGTCATGATCTCACAGTTCATGAGTTCAAGCACTGCACTGGGCTCTGTGCTGACAGCTCAGAGCCTAGAGCCTAGAGCCTGCTTTGGATTCTGTCTCCTTCTCTCTCTGCCCCTCCCCCCCCACACTCTGTCTCTCTCAAAAATAAACATTAAAAAAAAATTTAAAAAGCACTAAAAACAGGGTGCCTGGATGGCTCAGTCTTAAGGTTAAGGTTAAGCGTCTGACTTCGGCTCAAGTCATGATCTCGCGGTTTGTGAGTTCAAGCCCCGCGTTGGGCTGTGCTGACAGCTCAGAGCCTGGAGCCTGCTTCGGATTCTGTATCTCTCCATCTCTCGGCCCCTCCCCTGCTCATGCTCTGTGTGTCTCTCTCAATAATAAATGTTAAAAAAAATTTTTTTTTAAATCACTAATAATAAACACAGAGATGACTCAGATATTAGAATTCACAGACAAGGACACTAAAGGGCAGTTATAAAATTCACAATTTTAAAAGCAAAGATGAGAGGAGTCAAAGATGAGGAATGTTAGCAGAGAAATGGAAACAAAAAAAAAAAAAAAAAAAAAAAAAAAAAAAGGAAAATGAAGAAGAGGAAAAATAAGATACCTGAAATAAAAATAAAAACAAAAACAAAAGTCTCCCAGAAGCCCAGTCACCAGGAGGACAGTAACAAAGAATCTAATGATCATGTGAGTGGATCCTCAGAAAATGACACAATGATGAGAGACTGGACAGACAAACATTGGGAGAAATAAAGGCCGAAACCTGAAAAGTACCAGTCCACAGATCCAAAATCTCAAAAATACCCAAGCAAGATAAATACAAAAATACTCACACACATCACAGTCAAACTGCTGAAAACCACAGACAAAGAGAGAACATTAGAAGCAGCCAGAGGAAAATCAGAGACATTACACACAGGAATACAGTAAGATGATGGCTATCCTTGCATCAAAAAAGCAATGGAGGCCAGAAGACAGTGGACAATACCACCAGAGCACTGGGGAGGGAAAACAGCTGCTATCAATCAAGAATTCTATATCCAGCGAAAACATCTTTCAAAAATATAGGTGAAATAAAGACATTTTCAGATGAACCAAAGCTGAGAAAATTCATTCATCACCAACAGATGTATACTTTAAAAAAAAAAAAAAAAAAAAAAAGCTTAGGAAAATGACTCTATATAAAAGCAAAAAGAACAGGGGTATCTGGGTGGCTTAGTCAGTTAAGCCTGTTTAGGATTCTCTCTGTCCCTCCCTTGCTCAAGCTCTCTTAAAATAAATAAACTTAAAAAAGAACAAAGGGAGCTTGAAATGATACATACACACAAAAATACATAAAAGACATTTTTCTCATTAAAAAAAAGAATTTTAACATTTATTCAATTTTGACAGAGAGTGCGTGAGCAGGGAAGGGGCAGACAGAGGGGGAGACACAGGATCCAAAGCAGGCTCCAGGTTCTGAGCTGTAGAGCTCGACACGAGTTCGAATTCATGAACTGTGAGATCATGACCTGAGCTGAAGTCAGATGCTCAACTGACAGAGCCACCCAGGCGCCCCATCCTCATTTCTTAATTTACAAAGAAGCCAAATGTTTAAAGCAAACATGATAATATACTGGGTGCTCTACAATTTAAGTACAAATCAAGTGTTATGGCAGCAGCACTAAGTATGAAGTGGATGAATGCAAGTACACTATTGTAAAGATCAAGGAACAAAGAAGAAACCACAAGGGAAATTAGAAAATGTCTGAGTTGAATGATAATGAAAACAACAAATCAAAATCTGTGGAATGCAATTAAAGCAGTGATTATAGAGAAATGTATAGCCTTAAATGTTAATATTAGAAATAAAAGATTTGAAATTAATGATCTGAGCATCCACTTTGAGAAGTGAGAGAAAAATTAAAACCAAACTATCATAAAAGGAAACAAGAACAGAAGTCAATGAGATAGAAAACAGAAAATTAAACAGTTGGTTCTCTGACAAACCACTAACACGGACCAAGAATAAAAGAAAAATTAATTAGTATTACTAGAAATGAAAAGAGATCATTGCTAGATATGCCCCAGACATTAAAAGGAAAACTAGGAAATATTATGAAAAGCTTTGATACTGACATGAGTACAACTAGATTAAGTGATTTTGAAACAATTCTTTGAAAGATACAACTTATTACAACTGACACAGAAAAAAACTGTTAAACTTAATTGAAAATCTTCTCACAAAGAAAACACCAGGCTCCAAACTGGAAACAACCTAAAAGCTCATCAAGCAGAAAAAATATAAACAAATACCATCAGTGATAAAAAAGAAGGAGCTACTAACATACATAAAGAGATGAATCTCAAATATGTTATGCAGAACAAAAATCAGACACACAGACTCTCTCTTGCTTCCATTTCAGGACACTCAAGAATAGGTAAAATGAAGCTATAGTGAAAGAAATCAGGACAGTGGTTCCAAGAGGAGACAGGTGCCTGGAAAAGACACAAGGGAACTTGCTGGCACAAGTTCTTTACTTTGACAGGTGTAGATTGAACGGGTATGCATTTGTCCAAATCACTGCAGTGTACCTTTAGAATCTACGCATCTCAGGGTATGTGAACTATGCCTAAAAAAATTACTAACTAAAAAAATTATACAATTTAAAAAATAAAAAAGACACCAAGATGTTTCCACATCTCTCAAAATAGCTAACATGTTGCCTTCCCTTAAGAAATTCAGCATTAGCTCTAATTTGAAACTATGTTTTTACTTAATTATGGTACTTTTCAAATACCTTTAATTTAGCCACCTCAATCTTTTTAACAGTATTTCTTTTAAGTTTTTTCTATTTATTTTGAGTGTGTGTGTGAGCAGTGGTGGGGCAGAGAGAGCGAGTGAGAATATACTAAGCAGGCTCTGCACTGCGAGCACCAGAGCCTGAACTTGGGGTTCAAACTCATGAACTGTGAGATCAAGCCCTGAACTGAATGAAATCAAGAGTCAGACACTTAACTGACTAAGCCACTCAGGTGCCCCAACAGTATTTCACTATAGGAATATACCATAATTTTGTGATTTCTCCACAATGAATAGCTGGGTTGTTTTATAAGCTTTCTTATTTAGGACAAATGAAAAACACCTCATTAAAATAAAGCCAACCTCTGTAAATGAAGAACAATTTTTTTCCCGGCTAACTTCATTGGCATAAAAAGATGAAGTTTCTAAAAACTCAAAATGTAATTGTTTTTTATTTTATTTTTAAATGTATTTATTTTGAGAGAAAGAGTGGGTGTGTGTGAACAAGGTGGGGGGGAGGGAGGGGGGGAGGGGAGGAGAGGGGGAGAAGAGAGAGGGAGAGGGAGAGGAAGGAGAGGGGGAGGGGGAGGGGGAGAGGGGGAGGGAGAGAGAGAGAGAGAGAGAGAGAGAGAGAGAGAGAGAGAGAGAGAGAATGAATATCCCAAGCAGGCTCCACACTGTCAGTGCAGAGGTGGATTCGTGGCTTGAACTCACACACTATGGGATCATGACCTGAGTGGAAATCAAGAGGTGGACACTTAACCAACTGAGCTGCCCAGGTACCCCTAATTGTGGTCTTTTCAATTAATAATCAGGAACCATTCAATATGGAAGAAACTTCAGATAAAGGATATTTCTTTTACCCACGTAGATTCCCCAGGCACTGGAACACAATAGAAAGTTTGTCTTTCCAATGTGGTAGTTCGTGGAGAGTTTAAATCAACTTCTTGTTGAGGCTGTGATGTACAAAAAAGTATATTTAAAATTTTACTAAGAAAAACAAAAACAAAAATTTTAATTAGCAAGTCACTTTTTTCATGTTATTTATAAAATCATTGTAAATATTACACATTAAGAACTAAAAAACAAATACCAAATAAAAACTGTCATTTTTTAAAAAGGAAAATGGACATAAAATCATTTCACATGCAATGATGAATATACTAGCTTCCCTCAAATCCATAATACACAGCACCCTGTTACAAAATTAAATCCTTTTTAATAAACAGGATACATGGTACTTCCATTGTCTCTTTCATAGAAAATAATCAGAATCAGCCTACAAAACAGGAACTTAATGAAATATTCATTAGGAGGTAACTGATATGAGATTGGAGTCAGATATTATTCCCTAAAAGAGGCATGTTCTCTATTTCAAATACACTTAGAAAATCCTAAGAGGTAAGAAAGAACCTAGGATGTAATATTAAAATGTTACTTTAATGAGTACATACTTTTATAGTACAAAAAAAATTCTTAGAAGTAAAATAAAATATATATTCCATTTTGTAAGGAAAAAAACAAGGGCCCAAGGACCCACAAACCCAAGAGACATCAAGTGTGAGCCTTAGCCAATATGTACAACCTGGGCTTTCTGCGTATTGCTTTCTTTCCAGGCCCCAAGTTTTCCTAGTTTGGTGCTTTTACTTATGACCTTTAGCAAAACAATAGAAACTATTTGCCTTCGGAAGTGTCACACGTGGACAGACACATCATCTTTTTTATTTTCCTATTTCCAGATGCTGAGATTTGGTAATCTATGGTGATGTTGCATTTTGTGTACTGGACAAAACTGTGTATTTATTAATACATTAGGCTAATGTGCCTTAGGATTCCTCAAAAAAGGGAGGCAGCAAGCATTTATAAAGTTAACTCATTCGATTTGGCACCACGTTTTACTCCCACATTTTACTTTGTAGAAACACTGTAAAAGAAAAAAAGACGTCGGGAGACCTGGTTCATCATGTGTTAAGATGAACAAATCCATCTTTCATGGGTCCCCCTAAATAACTGTAGGAAGATACATTTTTGTTGAATGTAATCTTCACGGCAACCTTCCAAATTAGGGCTGTTCTGTTCAGACTGGCCCCTGAACTAGAACACTTTATTCAGCCAGGCACAGCTTCTACTGTGAATTAACGGCTGGTATGAGGGTTATAAATCAATCTCTTAAGGTTCGGGTAAGCAGAAGTCAGACTCCCAAAATATAAAAAGCCCTACATAATCTGATTAAATTAAGATTCTGGATCAGCAAACCAGAGAACTAGACCCTAGAATGGAGGTAACACCTTTCTACGTAAGCACCTGCCTGATCAATCCCCACCTATGATACCTGTTTTTTTCCCCCAACAATAAAATTACCATCAATTTCAATAGAACCACATGAAAAACACATAAAAAGTAATATGGGAGATATTTTTGCTTTTATCAGAAAAGCAATTTTTAAAAAACTGCAGATATACTGTAGGTCCTCTCTATAACTGCTTTCCTAGTAAGTTTCCACCTCAAGACAATCCCTTTCCCAAACATAATCCTGACTGGTGTTCTCTGCCTTCTTGCCTTTCCCATGATATGTAAGAGAGCTTCCATTACTTCTTTTTATCAAAGAAAGCTTAAGTTTATTAAAAACATTTTTCCTCCTACAAAAAGGTGACAGGATTTAATGAAATTTAATTAAGCAAGTGTTAAGTCCTAAATTAATCTTCCACTTTTATTTTAAAATAACTTATCATAACCTGTAATTTTTTAACCAAGTATAGAGATATTAGGAAAAGGAATTAGTTTTGTTATTTATAGTACTCCACCTTCTAAGAGATTTTTAGAAGATCAAAAATACATCCACATCAGAGAAACTCAAATAAAAGGTAAATAAAACATTCATAGGACTTCTTAGAACTTACTTACACACAAGATAAATACATTTAAGATCAACCAAAGGAAATAAATTTGCTGCTTAAGAAAAAATTCGTATTGGGCCACCTGGGTGGCTCAGTCGGTTTGAGCGTTTGACTCTTAATTTTGGCTCAGGTTACGATCTCATGGTTTGTGAGTCCCACATCGGGCTCTCCGCTGTCGCACAGAGCCTGCTTTGGATCCTCTGTCCACCCCCCTCTCTCTGCCCCACACCCCCTTGTGTTCTCTCTCAAAAATAAACATTTAAGAAAAAAAATTCTTACTAAAAATGTTTTATACATCTTAAGGATACATACCCCACACTCTGCTACATCTCTGTATTTTCCAAAATGAAGGACCTATGATCCAAAACAAAGAATAACAGTATCATATCAGTATATCTGAATCAAAACCACCAGAAACAACAAGGATAAGATTAACACCACTAATTACAAACAGAAAGTTTCATGAAAAAAAGCAATACATACACGTGCTTTTGTGTTTCGGTTAACCGTTTCGTAAACTCCCATGTAAAACTCAGGGTCAAACATATCCTGAATCATGCAGCGAAACTTCACAAAACTGTTAGGTTTCAAGTAATGAAGGGGAACTTCATTCAATGATGGCACCTTAAAGGAAAACAAGTCAATACTCCTATCTGTAAAACATTAAGCACATATACAGAAACTATATATCCAGACCCAAACTGCAACACACACACACACACACACACACACACCCCAAACCCCATTAGGAAGCCAATGATCTCAACAGTTAACATAAGTGCTGGGCATAAAAGTACTGAGTTCTTCCTAGTTTGTATAATGACACTGGACTCTAATGTAAACTTCACAAGTAGCAGAAAGGCATTTGCCTTACTGAGCTCTTCTCTTAAAACGAGTACATCCCAGGGACACCTGAGTAGCTCAGTTGGTTAAGCACCTGATTTCGACTCAGGTCATGATCTTGCAGTTCGTGAGTTAGAGCCCACATCAGGTTCTGTGCTGACAGCTCAGAGCCTGGAGCCTGCTTCGGATTCTGTGTCTCCCTCTCTCTCTGCCCCTCCCCTGCTTGTACTCTGTCTCTCATCTCTCTTGAAAATAAATAAACATTAAAAACAACCTAGTACATGCCAATTCTTTTTAAATGAAAGCAATAAAACAAAGATAATAGAGACTCACACCTTTTTTTTTTTTTTTTTTTTTTTTTTTTTTTTTTTTTTTTGGTCTTAGAGAGTAATATGGTCAGTTACTGCCACCTAGAGGCACCAACATAGAAGCACCGAATTGCTCGACGTTTCAGTTGAAAGAGGGCAAAATCTTTTAATACATATACACTTAATGCAGAAGACAGGGCACATTAATGTATACATATAGTACATATATAATGTGTATATATAGTTTAAAATTTTACGTGGATTACCACTCTACAGAGAGAACCTGGAAGTCAGCCCAACCCAGCAGCAATAAACTTACCCATTTCGGAGCGTTATTTTCCTTCAGCTTTTCCTTAAAATATTCAATTACTTTCTTCTCCCAGTCAGGATTAACTCCATTTTGGGCTGAAAAAAAAAAAAGGCACTTTTCACAGCTACATGTACAATATTACAATACGTAACAACAGACTCTGGTCAGGTGTGGCACTTCGCGTTCAGGTGCAGCCCTGCACTGGGCACCGGCGGGGGGGGGGGGGGGGCTGCCCTCCAGGGGGTTGGGTGTCACAAGGAAGGGCATGGTGACCTCGTGCAGGCTCTCAGGAGCCAACACCCTAGCCGAGAACACCACAGAATGAGGCCTAAAGCTATGCAAAGCAGCATATGAACCATCATTTGTAAAGCACGATGTTCTTTGAAAACATTTTTATACAGATTTTTTTCCCTTACAGCCATCCTGAAATAAAAAGAGGATGTTCTTTTAAAAAAAAAAATTAATTTGGGAGTAATTTCAAACTTTCCAAAAAAATCACATGAACAGTACAAAGAATACCTCTGTCTTTGCTCCATTTATCTGCTCTCATAGTTTTCTGACCCGATTTAGATTAAATTACACACATCCATACGCTTTTGCCTTTAGATATTTCAATATGCATTTCCTAAGAATAGAGAGATTATTTTACATAACTAGCAGTACTGTTACCAATCTCAGGAAATTCAAAACTAATGTTTTTCACCTAACCCACCATCCATATTCCAATACTATCCTTTATTGTACTTTTTCCTCTTCGGTACATGAGCCAGTCTAGGATCACATACTGACTGCTTTTAGCTATCATGTCTCTTTCATCTTCAATCTGGAACAGTTCCTCAATCTTTATTTTTTATGACATTCATATTTAAGAAGAATACAAACCCTAGATAAAAATATAGAATGCTTCTCACTTTGGGTTTGTCTAATGTTCTCTTATGATTAGATTGCAGGTGTGCACTATCAGACTATTCCCTAAGCGATGCTGTGTCCTTGTAATGGTATCATCTAGAGACAAATGTCCACCTTCCCCTCACTGATGATGTTCACCTTAACCACCCAGTCAAAAGGATAGCCAATCTCTCCACAGTAACTTTTTTCCCCTTTGCAACTGTTAAGTAATCTGCAGGAGGCACTTCAAGAGCATGCAAATAATTATTACAAATCTTGCCCCACCCCCAGATTTAGCATCCATTGACAACTCTTACAATGATGACTGTAAAATGAAGAGAAAGGTGTTTCTAATGTCATGTTAAAGAGAAGAGGGGTGCCTGGGTGGTTCAGTTGGTTGAGCGGCTGACTTCAGCTCAGGTTATGATCTCACAGTTTGTGAGTTCGAGCCCTGCGTCAGTCTCCGTGCTGACAGCTCGGGGCCTGGAGCTAGCTTCTGATTCTGCGTCTCCCCCCCTCTCTCTCTGCCCCTCCACCGCTCACTCTGTCTCTCTTTCACAAAAATAAACAAACATTAAAAAAAATGTTTTTTAAAGAGAAGAAAACCGGGGTACCTGGCTGGCTCAGTTAGTGGAGCAACTCCTGATCTCGGGGTTGTAAATTTGAACCTCACGTTGCACGTAGAGATTACCTAAAAATAAAATCTTAGGGGTGTCTGGGAGGCTCAGTCAGTTAAGCGTATGACTTCGGCTCAGGTCATGGTCTCGCAGTTCACTGAGTTCAAGCCCCACTGACAGCTCAAGCCCGGGAGCCTGCTTCACATTCTGTGCCTAACCTCTCTCTCTAACCCCTCCCCCGCATGCACTCTCTCACTCTCTCCAAAATAAATAAACATTAAAAGTAAAAATAAAAATGAAATCTTAAAAAAAAAGAAAAAGAAAAGAAAACCAAGGGTTTGAAAAAAATTACAGCATTTGGCCAAGACCAAAGTGAATTATTGACAGAATTAGGAATTATCTGCTTGGGGAGAACCAGCAAACCAAATAGCTAGCCAATACTTCCACCATTTATATTCATCACACAGGTGCTATGGTGCCGTGAAGTAAAGGAAGGAACTATTTGTGACGAGCTGATTCTGTTAGAAATATTCATAAAATTCCACTAACACCATGCTCAGCAGGGCTTCCAAACACTTTCATTTAATTGAGCCAAGTCTAATTCTGAAAAAAGGAGGAAGGAATAAACTCCTGAGGTGATTCAGATGTGCGACGAGGGTTAAATCCACCGGGAAACTGGTCCTCAGCGCGTGCCCTGACCACCATCATTAGAATCACCTGAGTAGTTGTTAAAAATCCAAAATTTCCAGCCCATTCCAGACCTACTGAATCAGAAATTCTGGAGCTGAGGCCTAGCAATCTGCGTTTTAAAATGCCTAAATGGCTTTGCGGCGCCCATCCCTTCCCGCTGGCTGTCCCCTCTTGGAGCAGCCACGGCCCGCGGCCGGAACGGCAGGACCCCGAAGTCCCACTTCCACGAGGACCACAGTGGCGCGTGCCTTGTGGTTCAACCAGCCAGCTTGGAAGATCCACAGACCAAAGGCCTGGTGCCTCACCCGCACCCTGCGCCTGGACCCCTCCTGGACCCCTCCAGCCCACAGCGAGGTGCCCTCTGCTGCGGCGTCACACCCAAGTGCGAGCCGGCAGGGCCTTCAGCTCAGAAGAGTCTCGAGAGGCCGGCGTCCACAAGGAGGCGGCATGAACCAGTGATCTCGGTGGAATCCAAGAGGGTAGAACCAGTCTGCAGAGTCCTGCAGGCCAGCGTGCCGTGGTGGCGGCACCGCTCCCAGCCCATTCTCCTTCCCGGACGCCCTCGGCCCCGAACTTCAGCTCAGGTTATGATCTCCCAGTTTGTGAGTTCGAGCCCTGTGTCCGGCTCCGTGCTGACAGCTCGGGGCCTGGAGCCAGCTTCCGGTTCCGTGTCTCCCTCTCTCTCTCTCTCTGCCCCTCTCCGGGAGGGCTCTCCGGAAGACCTCAAATCGGTCAAACCCAGCTGACAGGACCGGTCATGCCCATATGGAATGTCTGCAAGGAGGAAGTCAGAGTCACAACAGAGGAGGAGGAGAACTGCAGCCAGTGTTTACACGGCCGGTGCCAACACTGGACTCTGACGCCCCGGCAGAAAGGGCCAAGGAGGCCGTGGAACGAGATGTCGAGAAGACAAAAATAAAGTGCTGTTGGTAAATCGCGATAAAAAAAAATAATACACAAATAAAATGCCCTCTAAGTGAATCTGATGCATACTAAAGAGAGCTGCTGTTGTACTAGAGGAGTGCCGATAAAGGATTACCAAAATGGACAATAAATAAGTACATAAGAATGGGCATTTTTGCTTTCAGTGAAAAATGGATGTTTAAAGAAAAGGCTGATACACAGCCATGACAGCCACAGCAACGTTGCTATTCTGACTGCATCTGAGTAAGAAACATGACATGCTGGGGGGTGAGGGGAGGAGGGCGGCTCGTCAGTGGAGCATGCAACTCATGACCTTACAGTGGTTGAGTTCAAACCCCAAATTGGGTGTGGAGTTTACTTTTAAAAAAATAAAAAAGAGGGGCGCCTGGGTGGCGCAGTCGGTTGAGCGTCCGACTTCAGCCAGGTCACGATCTCGCAGTCCATGAGTTCGAGCCCCGCGTCAGGCTCTGGGCTGATGGCTCGGAGCCTGGAGCCTGTTTCCGATTCTGTGTCTCCCTCTCTCTCTGCCCCTCCCCCGTTCATGCTCTCTGTCCCAAAAATAAATAAACGTTGAAAAAAAAAAATTTTTTAAATAAAAAAAAAATAAAAAAGAAAGTTATACAAACAAGACCATGCCACCTAACAGATGATGAAGCCAGATATATATACACGGCACATTATTTTCCCCTTATCTCTGACATTCTTAGTGGTGTCTTTTAAGGAGAAGTCCAATTTGCCAAGTTTTTTTTCTTTCATAGTAACTGACCCCCAAGGTCATGAAGATATTCTACATTTTTTATTTTCCATACTTAGGTCTGTAAACCCACATCAAATTAATGTTTTTGTTTATATTGTGACATAGGGGTTGAGGCTCATTTTCTCCCCAAAAAGATATCCACTTGTTCCAACATTAAAAGGCTTTCTTTTTAGCATTGAATTGCTTTGGCACTTGTATCAAAAATCAACTCACTGTACTTATGTTAGTTTATTTCCACACTCTGCTATGTTACACTGATCTATTTATCTTTATGCTGTCTTAATACTATATTCGTTACTGTCTTAACCATTATGGCTCGGTCTTAAGTCTTAAAAATCAAAAAGTTCTTCAAATTTGTCTTGACTATTGTCATCCTTAACATGTCTATGTAATTGTGAGGACCAGCTTATGAACTTCTGTGTCAGGTCTGCTGAAATTTTGATTAGGGTTGTGTTGAACTTACAGATAATTTGAGAACTGACATCTTAACAGAGTCTTCCAATCCATGAATTCTCCCAGGGGAGACGGAATAAGGGAGCCTACACGTGGATTCCTCCAGACTTCATCTGTGTCTTTTTCCCTTATGATCCAGCTGTGTATCTTTACTATCCTGCTGTAATAAATCTTGGCCTTGAATAAAACTATACATGGAGTCACATTAAGTCCTTCTAGTGAGTCTCTCAAGATAGAAGTGGTCTTGGGAACCCTAACACATGAGTATATCAATAGTTCATTTCTATTGATTGCTGAATAGTATTCCACAGTATAGCTGAATGACAATTTGTTTCTCCATTTACCCACTGAAGGACATTTAGATTGTCTCCAAGTTTAACAACTATGAACAAAACAACTAAACATTTGTGTAGAGGTTTTTGTGTACACGTAGGCTTTCATTTCTCTAAGTAAAAACCTGGGAATGGAACAGTTGGGTATACGGTAAATGTACAGTTAAGATTCCACCTCTTTTCCAGAGTGGCTGTACCATTTTGCATTCTTACCAGCAATGTATAAAAGATCAAGTTCTTTGTATCCTTGCCAGCATTTGGTACTGTCACTATGTTTTCCAATTTTATCTGTTCTAATAGGTGTGTAACATCTCATCATGGTTCAGATTTGCATTTCCCTAGTGGCTAATGATGCTGAATTGGTGAGGCATCTATTTAATCTTTGGCCCTTTTTAAAACTGGGTTAATTACCATTGTGCTTTCTTTATACATTCTGGATACAAATCTCATCTATGGTTTTCACATATATTCTAGTTAATGGCTTATCTTTCCATTCTAATAGTATTTTTTTGCAGAAGTTTTTAGTTTTGATGGTTATCAAATTTCTGTTTCATGCATTGTGTCTTTGGTGTATGTCTAAGATCTCACTGCCAAACCCTGGGTCACAAAGATCTACTTACGTCTGAAAGTTTTATATTTTTACAGTCTTAAATTTTATACTTAGAACTGTGACACATTTTGAGTTAATTTTTGTATAAGGTATGCGATTTAAAGGTTTTAAATGTGTTCCCACATTTATGTTGAAAATATCCTTTTCCATGAATTATCTTTGTACTCTGTCAAACAATGAGAGCAACAAGAATGAACCTTACAAACATTATGCTAGGTGAAATAACCTAGACACAAAAGGACAAATATTGTAGGATTCCATTCACATGAGGTACCTAGACAAAATCACAGAGACAAAAATTAGAACAGAGGCTTTTGTAGGGGAGACACATGAAAGGGGGGGAGCTGATGGTTATTTTACCTTGGGGTGAGTATGAATATGTGGAGTGGTAGGCAGAATAATGCCTCCCCCTGCCCCAAGATGGCCACATCCTAATCCCCAGAAACTGAATATATTACACGACAAAGGGGAATTTAGGTAGAAGACAGAATTGAGGTTGATCATCAGCTGACCTTAAAGCAGAGAGATTATCCA